AAGTGGTTTCCTGTGTTCTAATGTTGGAACTCTCCAGAGGTTGGGTGTTTTTTTTTTCCCAGTTAATGTATGGTCTATAAGATATGGTTATTTATTGCTTTTTAGTTTAAAACCACAAGTTCGATTTGAACAATAAAAAAAGTAGACATATCTGCTCGATGATGGATGCTATAAACATGGACAACTGTTAGCAGATTTACAGGAGATCCTAAGTGTGAGATCTTACATATATACATACATAGTTGATACATTTATAAAGGTACAGGATGAAGTCCAAAGGGTCCTTTCTCGTGTTAAGGAAGTACAAAACATCAGATTCTTCTTTCCTATGTACTAAGGTTGTGGATTTAGTTTATCGACTATCACATACAGAATTTCAGGTGGACACAAAAGTATATCCAGAATGAGTCTTCCTGCTAGCATGTTGGAGTGCAACAGGCCTCATGCTTGTTACACTGACTGACCAACTCACATAAGTATAAAAGTGGAATTAGGTGAATTGTAGATAACATATCGCCAAATGTTTTGGTTTTTCAAACCGTAAATAAGGCTTTGATATTATACTATGGTTAAAACATAGTAAAGACAAAAAGAGACTTGAGGGCACACCTAAAACATGCATTTTGCAGGAATGGTTCTACCGTAGTGACCAAAATGTACAGTATACATAATACAGATTAAGAAACAAATACACAAAAAAATACAGTTTTTAATTTTACAAGACTACTTAAAATCGCCTATCTCAGCAAAAAATAGGGAATTGCCATATGGTGGAACTGAATCCCCATATTTAAGTAGCCTTGTATAATTTAAAACTGTATTTTAATGCGTGCTTTCTCCTGTAAACTGTATTATGGTTAAAACATGACATATTGCTGTATTACTAATCTTCATTAAACAATTATTTATCTGAGCAATGTTCTACATGGAGAATTAATATAGACCTTCTGCTCCTTTTCCCAAATCGCTTTATGCTAGTTTACAGTTGAATAAATTTAAACACATTTTTAATACACATGGAGAAATCTTAAAGTTTAAGGGAGCAATCCTGAATATAACTCAATGACTATATTTACTGTATTGACAAATGGAGAGAGAGAAAGAGAGAACGAGAGAGAGTCCAAAATTAGGAAGAAAGAAAAGAAGATTTTTTTCATACAAAATACAGTATAAATAATAATTATTTTTGCAATTTACATACTGGTATTAAATTTACGTACTAGCTAAATTAACATGCTGCCATCTTTGAGTCAGCAAGATCAGGAAGTCCGTATATAAATTTGATAATTAATTTTCCACGTATTAAAAGTTACATTAGTTGCTGGTCCTTCTCTAGTGGTTTTCATGTGTTAGTGACTTTACCTACTTTCTGCACCCGATCCATCTCTCTTCTTGAGTTATTCCACACATCTGACAAGAAGTTCAACCTTGTGCTGTGTTTGTAGTATGCAGTTGGATCCCAGTTTTAATTTCTAGTGGTCACAAGGGCAACATTTTCAGCATGGGTGAAGTAAGGCCATCTCTTGCTAACCTCCGATCTGTGACTCTGGTGGGACCTGGGACTGAGAAATTGGATATACAAATTATGGCCATTGAAGTAGTTAAAATGGAAGGTAGGATCTAGAGCAAAGGACCAGCTACAACTGAAATTATATTTTAAAGGAACACTCCAAGCACCATAACCACCACAGCAAGCTGTAATGGTTAAGTTGTCAGTAATGCCCTAGCACCCCTCGAATGTAGTTCAAATCGATATGACTACTTGCACAGAGGCACTCCTGGCACCTTAGCAACTACAGCTCAATGCAGAGGTATAGTGTTTGGAGTGTTCCTTTAAGCGTACATTATTTTCATACTGCCGAGGAGCTGCCTGGACTTCTGTTGTTTACAAAGGAGTGGTAAAACTGATTACGACTTGTGATAGAACCACAACCATCCACAGGGACATTGTATGGCACATAGCTATCTATTGGTTAAACACTGTAATGAAACCACAATTATCCACAAGGACATTGTGTGTCACAGTTCCATCTATTGATTGAATGTTCCTAGTCCCCAATATATTTTGCAAATATTTGCATATGATTGTAATGCAGACTGAATGTTGTAATTTCCATAGTCTATGTTAACCTATTTTATCCTCCTTTGCAGAATTATATTTTGTGTTTTGTAGTTGTCTGTACAAGTCCCCATATAATTATGTTTTATATATTATATAGTGTGTCACCACAGAAAGCCTAATGTAATGTAGTTGATAGGGGCTAGTCATGGGTGGAAATAAAGTACTAAATGGTAACTCCATTAGGAATGGAGCTCTTGAATGGTCCTTTCAGGGATATCAGGAGCAGTTTTAGGCCAAGCTGTATGGATGCTCTGTTGCTTGGTACAGGGGACCTAAAGGTAAAAAGCTGGCCTGAGAACCAAAAGATCTTTGTAAAGATGGTGGCAAAAGCTAGGCCTGTGAGCCACAAGTGCCTTTGTAAAAATAGCATTTGGAAGCAGCAGAAGCAGACGGGTTGATTCTTGAATGGAAGAAGAAGCACAAACACAGTGGTTGATACCTGCTTTAAAGAAGGAAGACAAGCTGAAGAATTGATCCCAGCTTGGAAGGAGGACGACAGGAATGGGGTCAATACGTGCAAAGGATTCTGGGTAGGTGTATGCAATTGAGATGAAGAAGGAACCACATTTTTGCCTCATAACTCCACTTTATACATGGATTCCTTAGAGTATGTGTCTGCTGCATACAACAGCTTTGAAACACAACTCAGGAAGAGGAGCAAAGCCAGTGAACCACTCATGGACAGCTGTTTCATTGTTAATGCAACTCATCAGCATTAAGGTTGGTTACTGGCTTGCTATGGAGGCTTGGCGTTACTTGTAAAGTACATACGAATAGAGTTGTGGTGGGGAAAAAAGTGTTTATGAAAACCCCTTCAACCTGAAGTAAGTGGATAGTTAATACATTGCTAAACACAAATGCATACACCAGTCAAGACTTTTCCCACAGAAATCTCACTTTAACAGTGCTCTCACTACTGCAAGGGATTCTGTGTAGGTTTATGCAAATTAGATCAACAAAGAACCACTTTTTTGCCTCATAGTGGTTCACTGGCTTTGCTCCGCTTCCTGAGTTGTGTTTCAAAGCTCTTATATACAACAGACATATACTCCAATGAATCCCTGTGTAAAGTGGAGTTATGAGGCAAAAACGTGGTTCCTTGGAGTATGTGTCTGCTTTATACAACAGCTTTGAAACACAGCTCAGGAGCAAAGCCAGTAAACCACTATGAGGCAAAAATGTGAAGTGCTTTTATAAAAAGAATAGTCAAAACACATTGGCATCTTTTAATGCAAGATAATCTCCTTAAAGAAATCTTACCTGAAAAACCCAATATTGTTTTTAGAGGTGCACCAAATTTTCAAACTATTCTAACTAATAATTATACTAAAGAAAATAAACCCATCACCAATGTACATTTTTAGGAGTAAAAGGATTTTATGAATACAAAAGATGTTGTGTATGTAAAAGCAATGACCCTTCCACCCAGTCCAAAGTCACCCATTTTAAATCAAATAGAACCAACAAAAGTTATAATATTAAAGATTTTGTGACGAAGTGCCCTTCGCCACTTGTGCCTGGAGAAGACTGCTTGCCCGCCTCTTGCCCTGTGACTATGGACCCTGGGAGATTTGGCCCGTTCAATTCAGTATGATAGGAGTTATGTATTTTTGTATCCTTTTGTGTTTTACTGGGAACATGTGCTCAATGGAGTCTGCTTCTAGTCCTGGATAATTGGATTACTTTCCCCATTGTCTCCAGGCTAGAGGGCTCTGTAAAACCAGTTTGGGCCAGATATCCATGCTGCCAGCCAGGCCCCAAAAGATACTTTACTAACTTCTGAACCCCTGGTCTGATTCATGTCATTTTTTTGATATGTTGTTTCCCGGAATGGATTGATTGTGAATATATAATTTTATGTGAATGTGATGTATATTTTAGAAGTTATGAATTCTGTAAAAACTGTATTATTTCTGGCCAGCAGATAATTGAGCTTTGTGTATTGTAGAAACTCAATTATCTAGCCTGGCCCAGAGGAGGAGTTTTGTGTTGCATAAATTGTGAGTTCTGTGTGCCAGTAAATCAGTCTTGTTCCAGCATTAAGCCTTGGCTCATGTTTGGGGGATTGGAGAAATACACTCTGGGGATTGCTATAATCACTATACTCCCCAGGGTATGATCACTAAGTTCTGCTAAGAGCTTGTTCCTGTTCCTGCTCTCTGGGGAAAGAGAGGTTCACCCACTGGAAGCTGGATCCTGGCCTTGGGTCCAGGGTGGGTGGAGACAGCAGAGACCCCGGCGCAGTTGCATCGCTGGAAGTGGGGTCTGCAGTGCTGATGGTGTCGGTTGGAGTGCTTGGAGTCCTCAGCGAGCACTAGGAGCATCGATTGGCGGAGGTACTCAGTCGGAGTGCCAGCGGTCCATCACAGATTTTATTGGGTGCAATACCAACAATATGATTTACTTACTGGAGTGCTCATGTGGCCTCCAGTATGTAAGTATGACCACTACATGCCTTAAAATTAGACTAGGAGAACATTGTAGAAATATCAAAAATAGATTTGTGAACCACTCTGTATCCAAGAACTTTATTAATCATAATAAAGATCCCAAACTCCTTAAATGCATATGAATAAAAAAAAATGTAAGATACCCTGGAGAGGCAGAAATATTAAGAACATTTTAGGTAAACTGGAAATGGAGTGGGTTTTTAATTTACAGATCCTAGTCTAGATGCTGACTTTGACTTACATAATTTCTTATGATTTTTTTTTATTGTCCTTTTCATATTTTTGTGTTTTATGTCATTGTTTTTAATTATTATTTTTATTTTTTACTCTCTAATAAATAATTATTCATTTTGTCTCTCAGTATTTTATTTCTGTATAATTGTGTGTCATTCATATGACTTTTAAACACTACTAATTTCTACATATCACCAGGATGTACTTTTGAGATTTTTTGTTGCTGATACATATCATTTTCCTTAATATTGTTGTGTCATTTGCAAAACTTTCCCATATTTTTATTTGTTTTCCCCTACATCAACTATATCCAAGTAGCTGTCCTTTAGCTTTATATGTTAAAAAAAAATTGTTAATAGCAGGACTACAGCCCCCAAAATGCAAAGCAAATTATTTGTGTTTTTGGTGTTAAAAAACATTAATAGCAGGAATTCAGTCCCCAAGATGCAATGCAAATCGCTCCATGTCTATGTTGGCGATCCTCAAGTCATGTGACCCGCCTATTCCCAACCTTAAACTACTGCACCCATAAGACATTGTAGAATTTCCGGTGCGCACATCATTTTATGACATCAGACACCCGCGAGTCACGTGACTCGCTACACTTAATCATTACTAGACATAGAAGCTTCGTTTTCTAAAACTTTCACTAGTGTTGAAATCAGTTACATTCAGAATCTCTTCAGTATGCCTTTCTTTCATGTTTTAACTATGTATTTATATTCTTTTATTCTATTGGCTGCTGAACTCTATTTATTTTTTGGCGTTCATTTTATGCAATTAGATCCCTATATATACCCACAATAGCCAGGTTTTAAATTTTATCCCATTTGAAAAAACCCTAGTGGCGAAACGCGTTATGGTTATTTTAATTGTGTAATTTTCTTAATAAAAGGCTTTTTGGTTGCAAGATTGTGCCAATCATCTTTTTAATTACACTTTTTTATATTTGGAATTTTTTGCCTGGCCTACTTTTACCTGCTTTTATCTTCGTGTGACTCCAATTATATCCTGGGGTGGGGATCCTAGCACCCATGCTGATACCACAGAGCAGTTTCCTGCACTCTACTTGTGAGTAAAATTTTACTTATGTTTATTGCATTTTTATGTACCTGAGAGCACTATTAGTTGTCTTTTATATATTCCTGTTGGACATCAACCCTCTGGAGGACTCCTATCATAAATCCTTTAAGCGGGGATTATACCGCTGTATGCGCTTCACACCCAAGCTGGATATAGCTCTTTTAAATGTGAGTTTACCTTACTTATCCATCTATTTTATCTTCACTTGTCGGTACATATTGCACCATTGGCTTTTTCCATTCTTGTTTTACATATGAGCAAGGAGGTTGAACAACTAAAGTGGTTGAGGACACTACACCCAAAAACCAACGCTCCTTAAAGAAATTTACCTCTGAGTGAGACTTTGTCTTTGGTTATCTCATTTTTTGGTGATTTTATTAGTACTTTAGTCCCACTGGGTTAGTGAGACTATTCAAATTATATTGTCCTAGGACTATTGTATATTCTAGTATTACTACTTTTCCTTTCTTCTTTTAATTTATATTTCAGACCATACCAGCCTATTAATAGTTTAGAATACTTCATTGTTTATGGCTTGGTATATTAGTCATCATAAATATTTGCTGGCTCATCCCTAACTCCCCTATCTTACTCATTACTTAAAACTACAATACTTTTTAAACCTTATAACCTCTTTTATTCCCTTTTCTATTAATATTCCTTAAAGGGTATCAACCTTACTAAAGAGGAAAAGTAAGAGGAGGGGAAACCCAACAAATCTTCATATACAAAAATAAAATAAAAATAACCTCATTCATACCACCATTCACACCATACCTTCCAGCTATGTCAGTCATCTTTATTGCTTTCGTGGAAAATAATGTCTATTTCATTCTTATTACTCTAGGGCTTATTGATTGTCTATTGTCAATTCCCGCTCCTGTTGCTCCAATATTTTTAGCCAATTTGCCCATTTATCATACTCCTTATATTGATTTTAAATTTTATTCAGCCCTGTTTCCATTTGAATCTGGTATTTTAGTTGTTGAGTGAGCTGTAGCTTATTGAACAGCTGTGTCTTTTTCCAATTCCTGGCAATGATAATCTTTGCCGCTACCAGACAGTGTGTTGTCAGTACTTGTTTCATTTTGCTAATAAGAGGCCATCTTAAGTGCAACAACATAATGTCTGGTCTAACTTTTATTTTTATATCATTTAGACTGCACAGTAATGATTTAACCATAAGCCATATGGGGATAACTTTTTTACAACACCACCATATGTGAAGATAATCCTCTCTCCATTCTCCACATCTCCAACATAAGTCATTATTATCGTGTAACATTCTGGACATTTTTGAAGGTACTAAATACCATTTATTGATCACTTTGTAAAATGTTTCAACTAAAGAGAGGCTGTGGACATATTTATTTATTTTGATTATTGCTTCATACCATTCTTCTAAATCTATGGGGCAGTTCAGGGCTTTTCCCCAACTTTTTATTGCCGTTGGGTAGTTCTGTTTTTTTAGTATCTAGTAATTTTGTACATTAAGCAAAAAGATTCTTTGAATCCTTCCTATTAAATATTATTTTAAACGGATTGTATATTTCCCCATTGTTCAGGATTGTTTTATTCAAATAATTCTTGACTCTTAAGTATGAGAGAGCCTCTCGATTTTGGAAGGGACGTTGTCCTTATTAATATGTCAAAGGTCTTTAAGTCATTATTCATTATTAAATCTTCAACCTTTATAATATTTACATCTCTCCAGGCTTTTAGAGAAATATTTATTATATCCGTTTCAAGATAATCTATACTTTGAAAACCCAAGATCTTATTCTTAATATCTATTTTATTTTTTATTTTTTCCCATATGGGAATTATTTGGTTCAACACAAATGATAATGAGTAATCACAAACGTTGTTATTCCGTATGATATTGGGTATATCTCTTTTTGCAGCATTGCAATATGGTAGATTATCCCAGCTTCATAATATCTTTCTAAGCCTAATCCCCCTTTATTTATGTTGCAGCTCATTGTATTCATTTTTATTCCAAGCTTTTTCCTCCTCCAGACAAAGTTGGCAAAGGAGGATTTGATCATTTTTAACCATGGTATAGGAATTATTAATGGCAACATCCTAAACAGATAAATACACTTAGGAAGAACGTTGGATCTCAGAGTGTTAACTCTACCCCACCATGATATTTCTAAATGACGCCATTCTTTTAGATCTTTATTTGTATTTTTCAAAAGATGCATAAAATTTGATTCCATTATTCTTTCTAGCTTTTTATTTAATCCCTAGGTAGACAAATTCTTCTGGTTGAGAAAAGTTAAATCTGTTTTGTAGTTTTTCTATTTTATCCGGTACTATGTTCTTATACATTGCAATAGATTTAGATCGATTCAATTTATAATTTAAAACCTTACTGTATTGTTCAATTTCTGCTCTCACATGTGGCAAAGAATTTTCTGGGTCAGCAATATATAAGAGGGTGTCATCTGCATATAATGAGATCTTTAGATCTCCTCTAGAAATAGGGAGACCCTTAATTAGCGTGTTTTGTCTGATTTTCAACGCAAATATTTCCACAGTAATGACATACAAAATTGGAGACAAAGGACAGCCTTGTCTCGTACCATTTTCCAAACCAAACCAATTTTTGGTACCTCAAGATCCTTCATATAATTATCTATTAATTCGTCTATAGCTCCATTAGGCAAGTTATAGAGGGACTTATAGAATTGATTAAAGGTCTCCCCTATTTTATTCTGAGCTCTATATGTTTTACCTTCATGTATAATTTTATCTATACGATTATCTGCTAAAAAAATTTCAATTGGTTTGAGAAGATTATGTCTGCTTTATTTTGTCGGTAATAACATTTAATTTTTAATTTAGTCATTTTCTTTTCTATGTTTTCTGATATTTTTTTCTTAATGATATGCTTAATATTAGCTATTTTTATTTGTCCTTCTTTATCTGGATTTAATGTGTATTCTTTAGAAACTTTAAATAATTGAATATATAATTCCGATAGCCCTATTCCTTCTTTTTTTGTGGCTCTTCTTTTAATATTTATACAATGTCCTCTTATAGTCGCTTTGTATGTACACCAGGTATTTTAATCTGAGGTATCCTCTGGTCTATTTTCCTCAAAGAAATGCTGTGACAATTCTTTCGAAACTCCTGGTTTTCAATGCTGTGTAGTATTGAGTCATCTAATTTCCAAGTAGTTCTAGGGTAAATATGCTTTTCCTCCTTTATGTCCATTAAGATGATATTATGATCTGAACAAATCATTATTTTGATCACTATATTTGTCACTTTTTCTATTACTTTTGGGTCTCCTAAAAAAAATAATCAATTCTTGAATATGAATTGTGAGGCCAAGAGTAGAACGTATATTACTACTTTTATTACTAATATCTACCTCTTGGCACAGCCCTTCTGTTATTTTTGTTAGGCCGCTGCCTACATTCTATTTAATATTAGTGCTGACCCTTCTTCCTCTCTTTGTATTACTATTCCTACGTGTATATCTTTATGCAGTGACCTTTATGCAGTCATATGTCAACTACTTGTCTTCTATAAAATTTGCCTACAAGCATGTGCCAAATAAATGGGTATATTCTGTTATGTCTTATAGTGCCCATTGTATTGGTGGTTACCAAATACTACAATACTGGATCCATGTATTTGTCGCCCTCCCCACACATACACACAAACACACACACAGACACACGTGCATGCACAAATAGATACTTTCTAAATGTGTTTTACATTGACAATAAACCTTGCTATGCCACGGATACACTTAATTTTTTCTTTACGTCAGTTTTCACACAGATCTAAGCAGGTGGTCTTCATGTGTTTATTCTTTTTTCTGCCTTCTAACGGATCTGGTCTTTCTGGTTCATCGTTCTTTTATGTGTTGTCCTCAAGCAATACTTGAAATATGTAACAACACCATGATCTAGCATATTTTCGGTCTTACTCATGGTAAATCAATTTACATGAGCTCTTTTGAGCTCTTACTGGCTGCACATATTATGTCATTATCCTTTCCATTCAAAATGTCACAGTGTATTTTGCATGTCTTTCAAAAAAGCTCTGGTGTGCTGCCCTTAAGCCTGTAGTTCAAACTCATTTCTCGGAGGGGATCCTTTAGTTGTTTAGTTCAGACTAATTTCTTGGAGGGGAAGCTTTAGTTGTGTCTTTAGATACATTATTCAAAAAAACAATCACTATTAGGGAACTATTCTATTTGGCTGTATACGTAATCCTTCTAATGAAGTCATCAGCCACTACTCTGAGTGGTACAGCATACTTCCAAATCAGAGCTACCCTTTAAAGGAACATTCC